TGAAGGCTTTGTGGAAGCTGGTCAGTTGCCGAGCTCAGCGAACAAGAAGCATTTCTTTGTGAAACTGTCCCTGTGGCTCTTCCAGGTGCACAGCCTCCCGAGCTGCCCCACACTGAGGAGATTTGCACAGATGATTGAGCAGAGAGCTGTGGACACGGCCTTGTACGTTATGCAGAGGGAAGACAGGTGAGAAGCCTTCAGCCACCGTCACTAAGTCACGCTCGGTCAGACCTCCCTGTATGTGGGGAAAAGGGTTCACCAGGCCTGTTCACACCTGCCAGCGCATGTCTCTACATGTGCTGAGGTGGGAATCACCCTGTTCTGCTGGCCTGTTGAGTGGGTTCGGCCCTGCGTCCTTATACTTCTGGAGCTGGGACTGGTGAGCTGGTGCTTCTGTTCACTGTTAGGCAGAACCAGGAGTCACCTCTCGACTGAGTTTCTCTTAATCACTGACTTTTTCCCCATTTACTTTAAGTTTCAAAGGGTTTGGGTGGGGAGAGCTGACGGAAGAATAATGATTGCTGACTTTGTTCATCAGTTTACAACTTACAAGCCATTTTCCTGTTCTCGCTATGAGGTAGGTGTCATTTCCCTGTCAGGGTCCAAGTCCTGGCTTAATAGATGAAGTAGGTGCGAGCCTCACCTAGGCTCAGCTAGCTGCCAGGACTTAGGCCGGCTCTTCTGAGTATCAGTCCTGTGTTTTCTGTGTTGCTTATACTTAGGGCTCTGTTTTTAGAAGGCCTGTTTCTTGCCTACCAGAATGGAGAGTTTCTGTCTTAACCAAATTAAAAAATAAAACAAAACAAAACAAAACACCTTTTTCTGGTTGGTTAAGAATATCCAGCTTGCACTCAGAATAGGTAACTTGGTAGAGAAGGAGATAGGAAAGAGAGGATCAGTCCTGGGGAAGATAAGTGTGAGCAAAATCCAGCTAACATTTCAGGAATTTGCAGGGTCTGTTGCATAAGGGTAAGGACCCCTGGCTGCTTTTGTCCCGCTCAGATTCAGTGTGTCCGCTTGTGTACTTGCTTGGGGCCTCCAGAAGACTCCAGCTGTGCCAGCCAGCTTGCCTCCACTCACTGTGACTTGCCGCCTTCCCTCATCTGTTCCTGAAGTGGCCCCACCAGACCTAACTTATCACTCACTGTCCCCCCGTGCTCCCCCCACACACACACTTAGTAAATATTTTAGACTTTATGGCCCATGCATTATCTGTTGCAGCCACTCATTTCTGCCCATGTAGCATGAACACAGCCATAGATGATACGCAAACAAGTGGGTATGGCTATATTCCAAGTTAAACTTTATTTATAGAACAGGCAGGTGGAGCGGATTTGGCCAATGGCCGTAGTTTGTTTTCTCCCAGTGTAAAGCATTTTAAATAAGCCTTGATTCTTCTTTGCATTTCAGTTAGCCCTGGTTTCATAAAACTGATGTTTCCTCAAGGACAAATTGGATGGCCTCACAGTGCCAGCCAACTTGGCTTGGCCTGTGTACCTTCTTCTGGAAAGTAGATGTTGCATACGGTATTGGTTGCCTACTCCCCATCCATTACTTCAACATTCCCGTTTATTTACACATTATACACATCGTAAGGGTGGTCATGTATTTACCCAGTCACCATGAAAGGATTGCTCCAAGCCAATCATGATGACCTCGTTCCCTTTTGTCCAGGTTGGGCTCTGGGAATTTCTGGAAGAGGTTTTGTCCTCTTCGATAAAAAGTGAGAGGCACCACGACCAAGCCTTTGTGCCGCTTCCTGCACAGCTTCCTGCTCAGCTTCCTGCTTCGTTTACCACTGGGAGACAGGCTTTGAGCCGCAGCAGCCATCCTGTGATCATAAGGCACAAGCCCGAGGGGGAAAGTGGCGTGGCCACCGTGCCAACCCTGCGGGCACCACCGCTGAACTTTGTGTTGTATCAGATACATCTGACACGTCCTTGTGGTCTACACTCCAAAGGAGGAGGACTGGCATCTGGGAAGCCTAGCTTGGGATGCTGTTCCTTCCTATCCCTTTTCTAAGGGCCTCCTGGAATTCCTGGAAATCACTATGCCCTGCCCTTCCCAGCTTGTTCTTTTCACCCTGAGGGCCTGGTTCTTCCTGACTTACCCTGGTTACCACTCCCGTTCCAGTTGTGTTCTTACCAGATCCACATTCTGGCGCTTTTGTTGTTGGAAGTCTCTGTGCACAGAGAACCCTCACGCCAGAGGTGGCTCCACGCGCCCCCCCCTCCCACCCCCACCATCCCACAGGTTACTCTCTCCTCCGCCGTCTGATTGGGCTCATGAGGTCCTGGTGGCAGACCCGCCCGCAGCCCCGTGTGCC